GTGAACTTTGCCATAGGTTATCGAGGGCCCTGAATCCGAATCCATTGTCCATTTCGGTGGCCGAGGTCTCATTAGTTGAAAACCGACCAATCAGAAACGAACTTTCTTATTTTAAGGCTTTTGACCTTTTTGAGTGAACTTTGCTATAGGTTATCGAGGGCCCTGAATCCGAATCCATTGCCCATTTCGGTGGCCAAGGTTTCATTGGTCAGGAACTGACCAATCAAAAACGAACTTTCTTATTTTAAGACTTTTGGTCGTTTTGAGTGAACTTTGCCATAGGTTATCGAGGGCCCTGAATCTGAATCCATTGCCAATTTCGGTTGTCGAGGTCTCATTAGTTGAAAACCGACCAATCAGAAACGAACTTTCTTATTTTAAAGGCTTTTGACCTTTTTGATGGAACTTTGCTATAGGTTATCGAGGGCCCTAAATCTGAATCCGAAGCCCATTTTTTTGGCCGAGATTTCATTGGTCAGGAACCGGCCAATCAGAAACGAACTTTTTTTTATTTTGAGACTTTTGGCCGTTTTGATCGAACTCTGCTATAGGTTATCGAGAGCGCTGAATTTGAATCCAAAGGCCATTTTTTTGGCCGAGATTTCATTGGTCGAAAACTAACCAATCAGAAAAGAACTTTCTTATTTTAAGACTTTTCGCCGTTTTGATCGAACTTTGCTACAGGTTATCGAGGGCCCTGAATCCGAATCCGAAGCCCATTTTTTTGGCCGAGATTTCATTGGTCAGAAATCGGTCAATCAGAAATGAGCTTTTTCATTTTAAAACTTTTGGTCGTTTTGAGTGAACTTTGCTATAGGTTATCGATGGCCAGGATTCCGAATCCGAAGTCAGTTTTTTTGGCCGGGCTTTCATTGTGTGAAATCCGGCCAATCAGAAACCAGCTTTTTTATTTTAAGGCTTTTCGACGGTTTGATGAAACTTTGCTATAGGTTATCGATGGCCCTGAATCCGAATCCGAAGCCATTTCTTTGGTCGAAGTTTCATTGGTCGGAAACCGGTCAATCAAAAAAGGAACTTTTTTATTTTACGGCTTTTGGCCGTTTTGATCGAACTTTGTTAGAGGTTATCGAGGGTGAGAAATCCGAATCTGGAATCAGGATTCCAAAATTCAGATCTCGAATCTATTCGTTCTATGAGAAGTGATGTTGAGAAACAGAAAGTACTTTGTAATACGTGACAGTAGTGTAATGAATCAAGAAATACGAAGATAAGATGAAATTAGAGTGCTTGTAGAACAAAGATTGAGGAATGAGAGCGAGTTACGCAAAAAAAATTATTTAGATTGACAGGATACAACGGCTGTGTCCACTTATTCAGAATATTTCAGATTATCGGTAAATCTATACTAACGTGTCCTCTTCCTGAATACTGATAAGCTTCCAAAGAAAATTTCTAATGTGGATGAATTTTTTTGTAAAGGATCAAACTTTCCATCAGTTTTTTAAATAGGAACGATGGCTCGATTTTGAAAATGGTATCAACCTTTCGTGAGTGAAAGTAGCTGGAAGTAGCGGATAGCCGTGAATGGCGTTCCTTCGGAAGGACGGCGAACGAATAGCTGCCTCTAAACTAGGTTTATTCAAATCTGTTTTACGACATTTCTGCATAACATCAAGCAAGGTCCTTAAAAAAGTGCCACAGAGACTTAACATGTGACATTTTATGTAGAGAAGGACTCCTATAAACATGGAGAAACTCGAGAGACGACACGTATATATTTAATAGATATCTTGCTGGATATAGGAAATCTAGTACCCTTTAGTTACGAGTAGAGAAGCTTTTGAAGCAGTCGAAATGTGGATTAGTCATGCCTTGAATAAGAAAGTAGTCATTTGAGAATATGTGTTCAAAGATAGTAGTAGCTAAGTGTGAATAGCGCCACGTCGGAACTCCGACAGTGAAATATAGTAGCTTCTATTTCTATTTCGGAATTTTTTTGGTATGAGATATGGTCTATTAAGCTAGTTTTTTGTGTGAAATCATATACTTAAGCTTCTTTCGATGGCGAGCTCCATGAAATCTTAGATTGACTAGCTAGGTAAAGGATTGAAACGCATAAGGAATAGTTCACAAGTATTTTCACTTTGGGATTTCTCATGCGATAAATATAGGCAGCTTTGAAACTAATCCAAATCTAGAATCCAGTAAAATTTAAATAACAGTGCATGATTATATAATTACTGGAAGAGAACGATGCATAACAGCAATTAGTTGCGCGTGACGACCCACTCGGATGCCGACGAGTGACTAGCTGCTGCCCTAAAAAATCCTTTGAATAGAATTCTTTTAAACTTCTAATCCATTGGAAGGATCTCTAGCACTTAGATCTTACTAGGATTCATGGGAGGAAGAACTGGCAAGAGGGTTAACAAGTGTATTTGAATGAAGTGTGAGAACGAGTGTGTTGGAGATCTTCAATATCGGAATCGAACATTTCCTGAAAAGCGTCAATAATACAATTTGCATCGAATCATCAAAAGTGGACTTGAATGGAATTTAATAATCCTTTATCTTCATAGATACGTCATCTGCCCATTGACTTGTCAAATTTTTTTTCCGACTATTTAAAATTCGTTATTTAATCTCACAAAGACTCAGAGTTGAAGCCTGATTCAACTTGCGTAGGCCGGATATTAGTTTGAACAAATATAGCTTTTTAGTCTGATAGCTACGCTAAACATGCATTTTCGTAGTGGGTACCGGTCAGCGATATTGCCCGCCTATGTGTTTATGAGTATGCGCATTATTAATACAGTTTGCGTGAAGTGTAGTGCATCTTTACTGCAGTCACGCTGATATTTTTTGTCTGCTGATTTTCTCTGAAAATCGAATATACTATTTTTTCGTGGTTTGAGGATATTGCTGTGTCAGTGTGGGTCACGTAGATTTCTTTTGAGTGTTATTGATAGAGTAACAGATTAAATGAACGAATGTTATAGCTAGCAGTATTACAACGGTACCAATAGCATTATACACGCCGACACATGTGTACACTAATGTTGACACTAGCACAAAGCCCTGTGCAAATGCCCGATGCTACCTTTTGCAAAATGTCTGCAGTAATAAACAACTGCCGATGCAGTGAAATATTCAGTCGAGGGTTAAGCGAGTCACACAGACGAGCGTTACTTGTTAATAATAGAGAGAGAAATATATTATGCGTCTTAGCAAAATTGATTTCTTGACACTTCTAGGTTTTAAAACACAAAAAATTGGCTCTTCCATAGTAATAAATCTTTCAAGTGCATTAGGAAAATTACTCGTCGCAGTTTCAAAGGATGTTAGGTAGATAAACCTAACCGGGCTTAGCCTCATTTCAGGTACTGTTTCGTTTAAGTTATGAAAAACAATAAATAAGCATTTGTATATATACGTATTTGTTGTTTAAGTTTTCATTTTTATAATGAATTTATGATAAAGAAAAAAGAATCACTTTTTATTTTTCGTAAAGGCGTCTACGGTTAAAAAAATAGATAAAAAAAATACCTGAAATAAGACTCTTCCGATAAGGGTCTCTTTTTCCGTATCATTTTCAAACAAAAAATTTTTCACGACAAATTCATCTAATCACTGCGTTTGAAAAACCAAGTGAAATCATTTTTTGGATCCGATCGATAAATACTCGAATAATATAGCCAATGGCATCTTAGTTTCAGCAGTGCTCACCTTTCAAGGACTTTTCCACTACCAATGCCGCGCATTTCTTCCTTGTTGCCCAGTAGTACGTTAATGAAATTTTTGGGCGTCACATTCTATTTGAATACAAATTCTAGCGAATAAAGCTGACAAATTAATATATATTATCCTACATTTCCCGTGTAGTCCTTGGGTACGCCATGATAGACATCTTTGCCATTAGGATGATTGATGATAACACCTTTGGTTGGATTTCTAATTAATAGAATAACAGCTTAGAAGTATATTTTGTAACGAACATATTTCACTTACTGTGGATTATTAGCAATATCGTCGTACATAAAGACAACAATATTCGAATCGGGAATACCATGACTATGAAGAATTTGATACGAGTGGCAGGTATCGGCTTGGTGACGGTAATTGTAATAACCGTTTGAGCCGGCCACGATTACTGCCCAATTGGCTGCATAAGTGCTAGTAAGACTAAATAGAATAATGCTCACGACAAGCACAACGAATTGTCGATGCATTTCACAGGTGTGTGTGCGTGTATTGATGAAATGATAACAAAAAAGAAGCACTAGCAAAAGAGTGTGATGCAGCCCAATTTATCTTCCCGAGTTTGCACAATGATAAGATTGAAGATGATTTGTCACTGCTGACAAGCAACATGCACCATCGGGAGATATTGGCTTTGAGAAGTAGCGAGAGAGAGAAAGAGACAAAGATAACCTAAATTATTTCTGATAACGGCTCTCAACAAAAAATGCTCAGAAAAACGTTGACTTCATGCAAATTGTGGGTCAAAGAGACGAAGTATGAATGAGTTGCGAATTACGAAGCAGAAAAGGAAGTAAAACATCCCGAGCAATTTTTGAAGAGCAGGTCCATCATGCAACTGTGTGAGTATGAGTGTGGGTATTCTTTTTCATCAATACTCACACCCCATGTAACAACAAGAGTGAAAATAATCTACTTTAAAAAGAGGATTCGCCAGAACATCGACTAAGCTCATATAGGACTAGTCACCACTAGTTTTTTTTTCTGATTTTTTTAGCCCAAACGAAAGACCATATCAACAAACCTATAAATCCAAAAAAATCACGTTTTTTTGACATACTGGTGAAAAATGTCGAAGACCACAATCATCGATTGTTTGTGGTTGAACCATGAAAATTTAAAAAATTTAAAAAAATGGCTTTTTTCATATTTTGATGGAATTTTGAGATTTTCTCTCCTTCTGTTCATTGCTTTAAGTCGGGAGAGCTCTCAAAAGATGCAGAAAAGAGTTTTCTATAATATGAGATATTTCAGTAGCCATTAGAATGAATTTTAGTAATTGATTGTGCCTCCTTCAGCTCGGGAACATTTCCCCTACAAGTAAGATGCAACAGGTATACATAAATCCGACTGACAAATTTACTATAAATATACTTCATCGTACATTTTTTGATTTTGCTTTGAAAAAACAATTATTATTATCGTCAGATAAATGCTAACCGTTCCTAAAGAAATATTTATTTTATGATGACCTGTCGACAAGTTTGTCAAATTAACTTAATATAGCAACGAAAGTTAATAGAATCTAATGAAAGAGAAATAGATAATTGTATCGAATGTACATTTTTCGTTTTCGAATACACAGAACGAAAAAATGATCATTGTCGTGGAAGAAAATCTTTTTTAGACGAATGAGTCGTCATTCATGCGGCAATACTTAATATGTTACTGATTGCAAATATATAACTCAAGTATAATGGTATTTCACTTTTCTTGATTAATTTTCTTCAGTAGGATTGCAAGGATATCTTTCTTGAGTGGCAGCTCACAAAAAATATTTTGTAGAACGCTATTGAACCATGATAACAATGATTCCATACAGAAAAAGTATGTATCTTAGTAAAAACAGAAAGAGAGTACAAATCTTTCACTAGCGTTTCTTTCCTTTTCTGACAAGATAAATAGGACTTTATATACGTATTTCTCCATCTAAGAATACGTTTCTAAGTATACCCAAGAAAAACGGTAATCCCAACTTTGGTCGAAAAGGAAAAATGTCGAAAGGTAGAAATATCGAAAGGTAAAAATGTCGAAATAAAAATAGACAAAAGTCGAATGTAAAAATGTCGAATTGAAAGTAGTCGAAATATAGAAATATCGAAAGGTAGAAATATCGAAAATTAGAAATATCGAAAGGTAGAAATGTCGAAAGGGTAGAAATATTGAAAGGTAAAAATGTCGAAGAGATTGATTTTAGTTCACATCGATTTCTAGTTAATGATTTAAATAACAATCTTTTTTTTTATTATTCAACGAGAAAAAATAAATGCATGTGAAAAATGAATTAAAAGACAAATGCATGACTTGCTCAGCTGAGATAACTATGTAATGGAATTATTTGCCGCTTTTAGCCACGATCGAAGACAAACCGGTGAGAAGAGTTGATGCACCAATAAGATCATCAGTATAACGCTTGTATAACGTATTAATGCGATTTTGTATTGCTGTTGTTCGTTGATTTTTTTTCTTTGATGCACCACTGGACCATTGAATTATCATGGATGTCACCCGCTTTTCTTCTTTTTGCAAAAAATTGAAGAAAAGCCACATATTTGGATGATTACGTTGTAGTCGGAAATTCATCCGATTGTGATATCCTTTAATAAAAAAGAGGAATACTTGTTAAAGTTTATTTAATATATCTTTTTCCTACCTTCACAGTTGTTGTTCGTCCGAACATTAGATTCAGATACGTTCCATAAATCCACATCGTTCATCCAATTATCTTCGGAGTATTCCAACAACTGATCCATTGGCTGACCAGGTAGTTTGCAAGCATCTTCCTGTATTTCTTCGAAGCTACTCTTCACTTTATCTCTTGGCATTAATGCCAATGCCATTAACTTTCGACACAGACAACGGAATGTTTCATCTTCTGTATATTGTTGTTGCATTCCTAGAGACTGTATTTGCCGATAGACCGCTTGACAGAAGTGATAAAAACACCCCATATGTTTCGAACATGGGAACTGAAAACAAATTAATTAATAATCAAGATTTTTGTCGATGAATGCAGGAAATGCTTACTTCCGATTTCAATACAGGAAGTACACCAGATTCAAAATCAGTTATTATCAACCCAGGTGAGAAAGATTTACCACGTTCAGATGCGATCTCCTTCAGTTTGACAAATATCTGTTTATACGTAATCGACTTTTTGTTAACCAATAATCCAAATACACATGGTAAACCTAAAAGAGAGTCAATATTTGCTCGAAAAGACTTTCATTTTCACTTACATATGTCAAAATTGACCGCATGAATAATATAAATTTGGCAGAAATTAGGCGGTGCTTTGCTAAATGTTCCATCCATAAATACTATAGGTGAATCGAACAATAAATCAAGTTGATCATCGCTTCCAAACAGTAAAATACGTTCACGTCTGACACGTGATTCATCATACAACAAAAAACGTTTGCCATCGATTGTAGATTTATATATATCAGGAATAGTGAATAAACAGGATTGTGGTAATGTTGGTGATGCTTTCCGACGAGCTTTAGCAATACCTTGATCTATCAATGAATTGTCAAATAATATTTTGATAAGAATCTCAAAAATACTTACAAATTTCAGTGTTAGTTGGAAAGATAGCCAAAGCCGATCGGGACATGGTCGCTTTTGCGATCTCTTCGTCATAAATCATTCCGATCGACGTCACTTCGTTGAGAGCACGTTCTTTCATCTTTTGCCGGACCTTTTTCACTTGAATCAGTTCGGGATTTGGTGCATGAGAATGAGCATCTGTACCACCACCAGAGTATTCATCGTGTAACGAAGTGTGAACGTACACTCGACAACCTCTAACAACACATACCCAATACTTTGTCTTTGCCGTTGTCTTATTACATTTGTATACATAGTTATTCATTACTAACAACAGTTGATCTTTGTTTGATTTGATAAACGATAAATTGTCGATATTTGTTTTGGATGTACTGTTGGTTGCAGCCATAATGATTGTATATCTGGTTTATGATATCGATAAATTTTCTGTCCACTTTGTTTGTGTTATATTATATCTTTTATTGTGTTTTGTTCACATTTGTCTATAGTACTGTCGCATATATATTGGTCGATGGAATTTTCCAATAAACTATATCGTCAAAACACTATTTCGAGATATTTGCTACTCAGTGACATCTCCGTTCACCATTTTCAAACGTCTTTCTCTATTTTTTCCCTTAAGTTGTTTCGTATACCAAAAGTCTTAACATTTTGATATTTCGACTTTTTTTCTTCGATATTTTTATACTTCGATATTTTTACACTTCGATATTTTTATCCTTCGATATTTTATCCTTCGATATTTTTATACTTCCACATTTTTATACTTCGACGTTTTATTTTCGATATTTTTCGTTCGATCTTTTTACTTTCGACATTTTTACTTTCGACCTTAGTTGGGAGAATCAAGAAAAACATACAGTATGATAAACTTTTTTTGGTATAATTATTCGTGAAAATCGTATATGATCAATTTTTATTAAAATACTTTGATTTAGATACAAAACGTTGTGAAGATATAATGTAATTCACGAGCTTACTAATACACTTTGAGTATATAATGTGGATCTTTTTTGGCTACCCATAATTAATAATAGTATCTATCTGCGAGAGGAAACTTTGTTGTAGAATAATCCTAACATGAAGTTGATGATTGAAAATTACGAATTGAATTATAAGGATGAACACTTACAATAAATTCATACCTATGTATAGTAAATGATCGATTCATTTCTCTTCTATCATTAATATTTGTATGAGAATTACAATATTTCTGGTTATGCAAAATTTGGTCTACATAAAACGACATTTATTAATAAGAAATGATTTTCATATTTGCTTGTAGTAATATTTTCATTTCTGGAAATAATTTTGAACGATTTTTCTAGATAATTGCTCAAATGGTTTATAGTTTTGAAAATATTATAAAAATAAGAAATAATAATTATATTTTTTTCATATCAACTGACACTGTATGAAACGTTTCTGTGAAAGAATATGTATATATAAATGTGTTTGCACATGCATGTCTTGTATAATAACTCTGGATGAAAATAGAACTTGTTAATACCTGAATGAAATGGAATTAAACAAAGAGATAATACATCATGTAGTCGTTGAAAATCTGTACAAATTTATATAATTAGATTTACAAAATGCTTATTCAATGTAGCTCATGCAAGTCACATATAGAACACAGTATAAGATCCCATATGAAAACAAGACGTTGGAGCATGGAAATCAAGTATAGTATGTTTAAAGAACTATCAAATATAGTCTAATCTACATAAGTTTTTATGTTAATTATGAATTTGAAACCAATTTTTTTATTGCGAACAAGCACAGCCTATATAATATCTGATTACCGACTACAATGACTACTGAGGAGCATCATAGTGCACCAATTGTGGTGCGTACTAAAAATCGAGGACCATCTCGTTGCACATTGAGTAATACATCAAAAGATCCAGAATTTCAAGGGCTTTTAGAAACTGGATTCAATTATTTAGGATGGAACCATTCGACGAGGCTAGTGGCAAATTACTAGCCAAATCACTACTGTGAATCATAGACCTCTTCTCTCTTTTAGAGGCACACTCAATTACTAAAATTCATTCTAATAGCTATTGAAATACCTTATTTTATAGAAAACTGTTTTTTGCATCTTTTGAGAGTTCTTCCAACGTAAAGCAATGAACAGAAGCAGAGAAAATCTCAAAATTCCATCAAAATGTGAAAAAAGCCATTTTTTAAAATTTTTAAAATTTTTATGGTTCAACTACAAACAATCGATGATTGTGGTCTTCGTCATTTTTCACCATTATGCTAGAAAAAGGTGATATTTTAGATTTATAGGTTTGTTGATATGATCTTTTGTTTGGGCTAAAAAAAATCAGGAAAAAAATTTAGCGGCGGTTGGCTTAGTTGATGTTCTGGCGAACCCTCTCTTACGAATTTCTAAAGCACAAAAGAAGCTTAACTTTTTTGGATTTTCTGAAAAGAATTTAGAATGTTTTTATTTGTTTAAAAGCTACTAACTTACAATATGAAAGTCTATCTAGGCTTCAAATAAATGCTTTTTCTATTTGACTATGACATATGCTGATATCTGCTACAAGGAATAGATTTTTTACAGATAGTTTTCAAATAATATAATCTTTCTCGTGCTCCATTACATAGAGCACACATGATTGTACATAAATGGTAACTTATTAGTAAGAGTTGGTTTTTATCTTTCTAACAAAAAATTTTAGTCAAAAACTATAAGTATGGATGGAGACCTTAAAAAAAATCTAGCGAAGTCGGTTTATTATTCTACCACACCGTTTATACTTTTCGGGTGTGGACGGATATGGATGTGGGTGCTGGTATGATTGTGGATCTTCTCTTTAAGACTAGTTATATCCACACCCCGCATCAACCCACACCCACACCCGTGCAAGCAAACATACAAGTAAGCACGTAGGCAAACCCATTTTATTTTCATACCAACCACCCTTTAGTCAAGAAAACAAACCATCTGAAAAACTTATTTGATACAAAAACAAAATTTTCGCAGATGTGGATAGCTTCGTACGATACAGTTAGCCGATGATTTGTAAGCATTGAGACGACTAATATGAGTATGATCAGTACTGAAACTACCCGTTCGACTTGTGTATTGAATTGTTGCCTCATATATAGCTTCATTCGGTTTTGTTCCAAAAGTAATTTGATAGAAAACAACATCATTCGCTCTATTCCAATGGGTAAGTACTCGAACACCTCGCTCTAGTGGTGCTGAAAAATTTTTGTTAGGTCTATACATTTGTGCACTATGAATTGAGTCAAGTATAAGATGATGACATAACGATCGGCTTACAGTTGAAAGAAGTTGATTGATATAATTGACAATGTATTCGGCTGCCTGTTTAATTTTGATATCATTCGCATTAACTTGTTGCCATTGCAGACATGAACACCAGTGTGGTGGCAGTTTAATATGATCACATGTTCGTTGTGCTGGTATAACATTAAACAGAGAGATAGCTCGTTGTTTAATATTGGCATTATTTGTACTGCTCTCTTTGTTCATATCAAGTAGAGACAGAAGTGTAGCATAAACATCAAGTGGGGTCGTCAAACGATTAATATTCGTTCGAAGTGCATTGACTGCGCGTGGATACTTTTGCCGAAAGATTGAGGGTAAAATGAAGCTCATAAATGGTAAACGTTCTTCTACTGTGCCCTGTGGTGTACGACGAGCTGCTGAAAATCGTGCTCCATGATCTGTCATAAGAATGAAAACAGTACGTTCAAATTGGCCAGATTTACGTAGTGTGCGAAGTAGATCAAGTATAGGTGCATCGGTCAACGAACCTCGTGAATAATCATTATGTGTATACTGTTTGAAGAAACCAAAAAAAAATTTGTTATCTGTCGAATACGACTTCCAAAATTGGCGGATATATGAAAGAAATAATTCGAACGATGTTTGATTGCCAAAGCAATAGGTGTTTTGTGCATACAAGAAAGATCTTGTTGTTGGTAATCGATAGAATGGTGTCATATAATGATCAGTCGGTGTTTGATTAAAACCTCTCAAACGTAATGTCCAAATTCCCATGTGGGG